CAGTTAATAAAGTTACTATTTTACACTTTCAACCTTCTTCTTGTCTTCATCATAGGATTGATCGTGATAACCTACTATACAAGTGAATCGTGATAATAAATTATTTTATTTGTTTATTGTTAATTTCTCTTAGGAAAGGCCTTTGAGATAATTGTGATATTAAGTTGTTTAGTTTTGTTAGCTTGGTTTGAGACGATTCTAGGACTAACACTGGCTACCATTTTTTTTAGGCAACGCTAGGTAAGTTTTGCTCACCTGATTGAGTTAAATTTTAAAATTTGTTACAAGATCATCATTACATAAAAAAAGCATACACTAATTTCCTCTCCTCTAATATTTTATTATTGATAAAATAAATTAGAGCTAAACTTTACGGATATAAGTAATATTTTTAAAAACAAATTATCAAGGATATAATTGAATTTTTTTTAGAACACATAATTAGATTGCAAGATTGATTGAGTCCTTCGAAATTTTATTAAAAAAAAAGTATTTGAAGCAATGTCTTTAGTAAAGTTTTCGAAGGATTTAGGAAATAACATGAATAACATCATTACCTTAATAATGCTTTGTTAATCAAAATCTCATAGTTTTGTCATTTTTCTCTTGAACGATTTTAATATTTTTTAAAATAAATTAAATCATTATTGAGTCATATAAAATTAATTAATCGATTAATCTATAATGTATATTAATGGTAATTAAAAGAAAATTGTTCGAAACTCCCATATTAAAAATTTATTAATTCTTGCATATGAAATTTGATAATTTTCCTTTCAACCCTATATAGTCACCTTTTTTATATTCACACTTTTTCTTATTCACATTTTGTAATGTTTTTTTTGGTGATTGACTGATATCATCATTACTATTTTACAATTCAATCATATACTAAATCACATGCTTAATGTGATCATCAAGATTTATGCTCATCGTGTTTCGGGATTATGATATCAAGATTTAAGGTGTGGTCTTAAGGTTGTCGAAATTTTATGGAACCTGTAATTAAAAAGTTATCTACTTGGGTATTTTTGCTTCTAAAATTGATGAATTTTAATAAAAACTTTTTTATGTATTACAAGTTTTCTATATAAACAGATTTCAGTTAAATGCTGCAGCTAATAATAATCTGGTTTTTCAGTATTTCAAAACAAATTTCCATACTTAATACCGCTAAAGAGCGCAATGCTATTTAAATTTTCACTGATATAAAACAATATTTAAATTTTTAATTTAATATTTAACAATCATGATAATTTTAACCGAAAAATACCTAATTTGGAAACAAAAAAAATTTAGCCGAGATCTTCACTTTCCATTAATATATATATATATATATTTGTGATTCATTACAAATATGAGCAACAACAATATTTGTACAAAACTGTCTTACATTAATTATCGAACTTATTTATTACTTAATAAAGGATATGTCACAACTAAATATTAAGAAAGCAGTACAATATCCATACCTAGCGGCGATCAAGTAATTATAATTATGTTGATCAGTAAATAAATATGCATGTTATCATTTATAAATTTGCGAAAATAAAATTTTGTAACGTTACTCCTAGACCACAAAAAAAAATGTCAGATATTAAAGAATCGATTGACTGGTTCGAAGAAAAAATTGATGAAGGATATTTCAATTATTATGAGTATTTGCACTTCAAGAATGTACAGCCAATAGGAAATGGTTCGTTTGGAAATGTAATGCGTGCAAATTGGAAAAGTAATGATCGCCTTTTCGCTTTGAAATTTTTTAAAATGATAAAATTACAATTAGAGAAGTTATAAATGAGGTATCGTAATTATTTAAAATATTTTATCAGATAATTAAGAAAATTAATGTGTAATTAATGCTTTATAGATAACATTACACAAAAGAGTTGACATTCATCCAAATATTTTACGTTTTTATGGTATCATAAAGGAAGTAAATGGTAAATATTAAATATAATGTATAATTTTTTTACTAATAAATAATTTTCTTATTATAATATGTTTATTTGAAGGAGATACAAATCATCAAATAAACAAATACTCTTTGATTTTAGAGTATGCGGATGGTGGTACGCTTTATGATTATTTAGTAAAATATTTTAATAACCTTGATTGGAATAAAAATATCAGTTAACTTTACAATTAGCAAGTGCTGTAGAATGTATGCATGATTTTGACATAGTTCATCACGATTTGATTGGTAGTGATTAATTTGGTAATTGTTTCTTTTCTTATTTGTTATCATTCTTAATAAAAAGAATTCATTTTTTTTTTATAATTATAGCACGCAAAAAATATACTTATACATCAGAAAAGCATTAAATTAGCAGACTTTAGCTTATCAAAGAAAATTGCTGAAGAATCGAGCAATACATCAAAAATATTCGGTATATTGCCTTATGTAGATTCAAAAGGTTTAAATGAAAAGAATCAAAATTATAAATTGAATAAAAAATCTGATGTCTATAGTATTAGAGTTTTGATGTAGCAGATTTCAAGTGGACGTCAGCCATATTATTTCGAAGGTGTTGATTATGATTTAAGGTTAGCTTTGGATATAATAAATGGAGAAAAAGAAGAAATTATTGATGGAACCCCTACTGAATATAGTAATATATATCAAGGTATATAAATTAATATTTTTATTTATTTGAAATGAATTCAGAATTCGAACCATTATTTATATTTATTTGATTAGAATGTTGGAAGTATGAACCAGATAAGCATCCAATTATGCAACAAGTCATTTCGAATATTAAAACAATCATGACTTTTGAACAAGGTGATCTGATTGTTATTGATGAAGAAGAAAATAATTCATTTATGGAAGATAAATTCAGTGTTAAGTCAAGCAAAGATACTTTTGATTTAAATAAGGATTTAGTAATCGATTCCAAGAGTTATTCAATTAATACCTTTAAATCTGAGAGCAGTTTTCATAGTCAAGAATCTTTTCAATCTATTCTGTATTCTGAAAATAATTCTTCAAATACAATTTTTAAAGTTGTAAATTTATCAAAAGACTCTTTTGAGTCGATATTTATAAATGATATAACTATTAATAAGTTAATTAAATATGTTATTAAGAAACATGATAAAGGTATTGCTTTTGATCATATTAAACAACTTATTGAAAAACAAATATTTATATTAAGCAAAACTAATCATAATCTTTTAAATTAGCTTAAAAAAAATCAAAATGAACAACAATATATTTGGTTTCTTGGATTTCTTTATTATCATAATTTTGGTATGGATGATAATTGTGCCAAAGCATTTGAATTATTTTTAAATGCAGCAGAAAATAAATTTTCAATCTCACAAGTTTATCTCGCTAAATGCTATTATCATAGATGTGGAATTGAATGTAATAAAAAGTTATCATTTAATTGGTATCAGAAATCTGTGGAAAATGGAAGCATTATTGGGCAATTTTATTTAGCATATTGTTATAAATTTGGTATTGGGACACAACAAAATAAAAAGAAATTAGTATATTAGTATCACAAAGCAGCTAACAATGGAAATATCGTTGCAAAATTTCATCTTGCAAATTGTTTTAAATTAGGAAAGGGAATTAAAAAAAATGAAGTTAAAGCGTTTAAATATTATGAAATTTTAGCCAAACAAGAAATTGCTGATGCTCAAAATCAACTTGGAAATTGTTTTTATAATGGAATCGGAACAAATTAGATAAAGTACAAGCTTGTTGCTGGTATGAAAAAGTGGCAAATAATGGACATATTTTTGCAAAACATATTCTTGAACAAAATTTTAATAAAAAATTAATTATTAAAAAAAACAAAGATAAAAATGCTAAATTTTATAAAACAATATACTTTGAAGGATTAAGGCAAATAGGAATGAATAATTATGATGGAATCAGAATAATGCAAAACTATGAAAAAGCATTTTATTATTTTCAAAAAGCCGCAAAAAGTGGAAATAAAATTGCACAATATAATTTAGGTATT